ATGGATTGTCAAAAGCGATCTGGATTGCCCGACAACTGAATGCGCATACTTAGAATTTTTTCTTTGTCGCAGAAAATCATGAAAGCAAATCACAATCTTGACAATCTTGATTGTGTTCGTCATGTCAGCCAATGCGTGTACGTACCCAATCAGTTACCCGTCTGTACCCTCACTACAGCTTTAAAAGGCTGAATAAATTAAAACAAGATTTGGAGTTGGATATAACTCTAATTTCATGCATGCGCACCTTTTCGATTTTTCGAGTAAGCCGCTCAGCCGCTTTACTGAGTTTCGGTGAGTGATTCTTATTGCTGCACACGACTCCCATGCAATATGCAGCCCGGTTTAGGGCCCCTTGGTCGCAAAGTCCTTCGTTTGGGCCGCTTTGCCGCGCGAAATTACGGTAGATTGGTCCGAAATTTTAGGAATGTTTAGCATCGCCGTAGATTCCCTAAGTACATTTCTTCGGTGACATAAACCATGCGCTTTACAGCGGTACTTTGTCACGAATTTGATTGAATGCAATGGAAGAGAATTATGTAGTAAATGAACAAATTACTAAAAATTGCATTTTTCAGGCCAATTACGCCTTATCAGTGTCCACACTTATGCTGAGCGCAAATCTTACCTTAAACAGTATTTTGAATGAAAGTCACTGAAAGAGAATCTTGGAAAAGTGCAAAAAGATTTAGTAGAGGAAAAACAAAACTTGTTCCAGTGATCGGGAACATCTTAACCCAAGACATAGCTTCATTGCATTGAGGACGTGATGCATATTATGATGATATAATAAGCTGTGGTTTGTCAAAGTGTCACGATCTAAGAATAGAAGAGGTTGCAAAGAGTACATGCTCTCAAACCCGCTTTCACATAAAAGGTAATTTGTTATAATGTTTGCCATCAGTAAAACCAACCCCTCCTGCGGGTTGCCTCTTTACGAAAGCGTGCGCACAGTGCGCTGTTGTTCCAAAAGTCTCACAGCGCTCTGCATTTCCGTTTTGGGATTG